CGGGTTGGGGGGTGGGGGGTGGGGCAGTAAGGTTTCGTATATGGTTGCGCGGACCAATGCTTTCCTGTGGGTTGGGGGGGAGGGGGGTGGGGGTGGGGCAGGGGCATTAAGCTTATGTGGATAGTTGCGTACCATGGAGGGCGGGTGGGGTGTGGGGGGTGTTGGGGCGCTTGTGAGAAAATCCGTTCAGAGCTGTTTTCCTGGCATTGCCAAAGAGATACACTGGAGAGAGATTCCGGTCCCGCAGTTTCCGAATACAGCCGTCGAGTTTCCGAATACGAGTTTCCGAATACAACCGTCGAGTTTCCGAATCCAAGCGGTCAGTTTCCGAATACAACCGTGGAGTTTCCGAATACAACCGTCTCAGTTTCCGAATACCAGTTTCCGAATACAACCGTGTAGTTTCCGAATACTAGTTTCCAAATACAACCGTGCAGTTTCCGAATACCACCCTTCCAGTTTCCGAATACAACCGCTTCAGTTTCCGAATGCCAGTTTCCGAATACAACCGCGCAGTTTCCGAATCCCAGTTTCCGAATACAACCGTTCCAGTTTCCGAATACAACCGCCGAGTTTCCGAATACAACCGTGGAGTTTCCGAATACAACCGTCCAGTTTCCGAATACAACCGCGACCGTCATACAATGCTCTTGAAACACTTTATTGTAGACTCTTGACTAATAACCCTCCATATGAAGAGGATGTCCAATTCAATTGGGGGGGTTTCATGGTCCTCAAGAGTCGCGGGCAACTACCAGCTGGTTTTCGCTGGGCCGAATCTGTGTGGGTCGAAGGTGGTCCTTTTGCCCAGAATAGCCCCAGAATTCACTCTCACGGGAAGTGGGTTTGAGTGGGTTTGAGTGGAAAATGGTTGCCAATCATGTGTGTTTGCGCACCGGAGAGGCAGTGTAGAGGGAGAACACCACATCGCAGAGTAGATAGTGGAAACCCATGGAAACTCATGTCCCACTCAGCCAGGTAATTCTGGGTCTTGCCTCAAATCTGGGTCTTGGATTCTTTCCAGGCAGAGCCGGAACTTTCAGGAGCCACCTGTGCCGGAACTCAGTTGTTTTGACCCTTTTCAGGTTGCTTCACCAGTTGGGGCCGGAGGTAGCAAGAGCATGTCCCGGACAAAAAGATGTGAATGCCTAGGGCTCCTGGTCCCGGCTCCTGAGAAGGTATGACTGCACCTCCCTGGTACCCACCTCACCCACCGAAACGGAGGTAGGCCAAGAGCCCAAGCCTTGCTTGGACCATCCTATGCCTCGTGACCAGGTCGAAACCATGACGAGTAGAGATCCAACAGATCCATTGGGGTGTTCCTTGTAATAGCGATGGCCTCCAACCTAGTAGCGTTGGATTCTTGGAGTGAAACTGGGCTGTTTTTTTTCAAAGCTTGGTCAATGCCCTGCACATTACCTGGGAGCTCAACCCCTCAGTTGCAGGACTAGGTGACCAGGTACGAACATGGCGCATCATCTTCGGGGGAGAAGAGATGGGTTCGATGAAGACTCCTCACGGTGTGGAGAACTCATGATACCTCGCTGACCTCGCTGCATCGGTATGGAGGCCTCACCAGAGATCCTCATCGGTTTCTGGTGGGAGACCGCGTGCCGTTCCAGCCGAGAACTCGTCCAGCTCTTCCTGCATAATGTGTAATGGGATTGGCCCATCGATCAGGCCGATCTAGTGATGACAATGGGGTTCATCATTTGATCCATGGATCAGGTTGAGCAGTGAATTAGAGGAGAAGAGAAGCCAGGGTCCTTGGGGTTTGGAAAGGGGTAGGGCACAGCACAAAAAGCAGCGAGTGGAGTTGGCCCCTTGAGCTTGTCCCAGAACCTCCCAGAAATTTAACATATATTTATATATTTATATATAATAGAGACTAGGGGGCTGGGCATTGAGCATTGTTTGAATCAGCGCGAACTGGACAGTTGGAAAGTGATCTATCACCAGAGATTCCAAAGTTGAAATCACTGGCCTCAGCACAGTAACAGGTAGCGTGGAGAACACGCAACCAGGTAGTCACTACAGGAACAGGTAGTCGAAAAATACCGCAAACCTAAAGATGTGGTGGAGAACATGCATCGGCACCACTGGTGGTGACACAGAACCTTCCAGCTGCGAACGCAGCGAACGAGTGTAGCTTTAGAAGATCTTTCTTTGAGTCCAGAAAGACCCAGGAGTGAATCAAGAAAGGAAGATACACCAGCAGCTTCTTGGTGATATTTTGAAGACCTCAGCATGGGTCCAGTGAAGCCAAGCCACGAAGGTCGGGTCTCTTATATTATAGACATCACAGAGGAAAAAAACGTTTCCAGCGGAGTGAATTCGCTGCCGGTCACCTCATCGCCATGAGCCGGAAGCGAAAAAGCAGCTGCGTGGAGAGCTTGGGCTGCAAACAAAGAACTTGAGCGCAAGCAGGGTTCTTCTGGGTTCCAGTGCGCAAGCGCTCGATGACGAATTATGAATATGGAGAGAGCTCTTTGCAGTGAATGGATGATTGGTGGCAAATCAATATATGGTTTCGGTTTAGTTTGTTCATGTTGCAGAGGGTCATGGTTTCCCATCGCGGAATTCATGGCGTACTTCTTTGCAACGAGCTGCGGAGCTCACATGAAGACATCATGTACAACGGTGTGTGGTGTTTCACCATGTGGCGGACTTCTCTCCCTCTACCCCAGAACACTCCGCTCATCTCCGCTCCATGGGGTTTAGAATGATTTATAGAATTTTATAGAGTCTATTTACCCACATTGCCACTCTTCAGGTGCATTTCATCAATAATTTCCCGTCTCCTAAATGGGAGCCGTGGTTGTACCTGAATCCTCAGGTTCGGTACGGACCCGCCTGGCTGGCACCTGACCTGAGGGAGACCCGTCCTCACCTATAGAAGCTGAGGTTGGGTACTTTCCTGGATCCCAAACTCTTCACAGCGCCTCCTCACCCGGCCACGTGCCGGGCCCGCCCGGGTCTCTCGCGGGTCTCCCGCGACCCACGACCTGCCCCAGGAGCGCCGGCGATTTGGCGGTGGACGTCTCCCTGCCCAGTGGCCGCAGCTGCCGGGTGAACGTGAGCGCCAGCTCGGTGGTGGCGGACCTGCGTCGCTTGGAGTGCTCGGCTCGGTCGTTTGGAGGGGGGGAGAATGGAAGAATCATGAAGCGAAGAGAAACAACGAAGAGGAGAGGTTTAAAACGGTACTTACAAGAGGTGGTTTCTTCTTTTCAGATGCTGGGAATCATTTTGATATGTTATTATATTTTAGAGTCAATTTGGTGAGGGTGGATGGGTATCTTGAGAAATACATTATGCGCAGCTAGTGAGGAGGCACCTATAATGGCGGAGATCGAAAAAGGAGCTTTGTCTTCATATTGCACCAGCTCAAATCACCTCAACATGGGCAGAGCTTCTTTTCATGTCTTTTGGCCATGACGTTTCCACCCTGCCACGGTGGGTCTGACCCTTCGCCTTCACTGCGTGGAAGGCGGAAGGGGAAGGCACATATTGTTTGCATGGCCAACAGAGGTTGAAGAACCCTGTAGACTATCCCAGTTGGGTACCCCAGGTTGCGGGTCCTATTTACGGTCACTTAACCTCTCTTGGGGTGGCAGTCAATTCTTCAGGCTCATCGGCTCCTTTCGTGTCCCTTCTCCTCTTCCTCTTCATCTTCCTCCGAAAAACCCTCTTCGCTCATGCCCTCGGTCACCGCCACCGCCTTTTGGACACCACACGTCTCTTCAGGCTTGGTGGCTGAAAAGGCGCTGAACGTCGGCTTCCTAAGCCCCTCGGATGTCCGTATTCATCCCATCTTGACCGGCGTCTTGACCGGCCTAGACTCTGCGTTCGGCACGCGGTGGGTTTCGGGGTGGCTTTATGAGCTGTGGAAAACGAAGGCAGCGGAGCGGAAGTCCGCGCATGCCCGGCTCACAGACTGATGACAGGTACCCCTGTCATGTCATAGTTGAATACAGTTGATAGGTATGTACCCAGAACCTGGAACCCAGACATGACTCACCTTTGTTTTAATATAGGAAAAGACCTTGTTTTGGCTCTGAAACAGGTGTCAATCAGCTGCTAGGTAGATCCAACAAGTATAGGGCATCTATCTGTCAGCATCCACCACTCATTTTTTGCGTCTTCGCAACCAAAGTGTCCAATCCGCCCCATTGGACCTCCGGGGCGGTGTAGAAGAATCAGGGAGATCCCAGTGGAGACCTCCTTTCTCGCCCCACGGACTGACTGATCCATTTTCCGAACCGAACCCAGCAGGTCGTTGCCTCAAAGGTCTCCCTATATATCTGTAGCAGCACCCAATATCACAGCCGTCCTCTCGATCGTTCGTTGATCTCCTTTTTTTACCGGATTCCGGTCGAAAAAAGCCAACAACCAAAAAATAATTCACCGCGCCTGAACAGTGTTTGCCGGATGCTTCCGGGCTTTCCGTGCTGTGCGGACCGTCCAAACGGGACTGCCCCAGCGCCGCTTCAGGACTCATCTCGCCGGATGGCCGCTTTCTGGACCCCGCGTTGAGCCTGTGCCAGAGCGGGCTGCAGTCGGGCGACACCCTCACGGCGGTGGCGCAGCCCGCCAAGATCCAGGCGTCATGACCGAAGTAGGAAGGAGCAAGAGAGGTATCCAGTGACCGGCTTATAGGACCCGTAAGCTGGGGTACTCAACTGGGATAGTCGAACTAGGGTTCTTCAACCTCTGTTGGGAGTGGAGTGGGGGGTTGTGAGATGTTTCTTTTTGGAAGAGATTCTCATGGAAGATCGAAGATGGGTGTCAGTGCAAATCAGTGCACATGAGCACATGTATCAGCCCAGGGCAGCGCCAAAGTGGAGATTTGGATATTGTGATTATAAAGGCACCAGAACCAGATGGACATTTGGATGCATTATAAAGACAGAACCAGGTCACTTAACCTCTCTTGGTATCCAAAGGACCTATCCAATTTGAGTGGTCAAAGATCCACCTGGATGGCCTCGCCAGTCAGATGAAAGCGAGGAGAGCTTTGCATGTCTTTCAACGTAATGGTTGATGTGGTATGATGTGGTGAATCGCTGGTGGAGCGAAAATTGATGAGCTCAGGCAATCTGCCAACATGGAAGTGTTGGTTTGGGTTGGTTTGGGTTGGTTGGTTTGGCTTGGATTGGTTTGGCTTGGTTGGTTTGGTTGGTCTCGGATCTCAGTTCCTGCTGAGTGAAGGCTCGGAGACGTTCAGCCACTGTTCGTTCGACTCGTTTGTTGCAAGGTGAGGAGATGGGCATCCGTCACACCATGCGATTTCGTTACATTGCCGGTCGAGCTACTTGAGTCTTCCTAAAGATGTTACCCCCCCAAAAATGGCTCAATAGACCCGGCTCACTCACTCCTAACCATTGGGGAAAACTGATGATTGTGGATCGTCAGCTCCCTTTGGTCCAGGTATATCATATTGTTTTTTGGGTATACAGCAAGACATGGGGGATTGCTCCATTCTGTCCATGATTTGCAGGATTTGTACCCGTTTTTCTACCTGAGTTCCTTTGAGAGCGTTCGGTTCTAGGCGACCTGCAGCGCCTTCGCCAAGTGGTGCCTGGGCCGCTGTCACGGTTTTTCTTGGGGCCGGTGGGGGGCCGTGGGGTTGGCTCGAAGTCCATCCACCTGGAAAGCCAAGGAAGCAGAAACAAATATATAGATGAGATGATAATAGGTGTTTCTCCAAAGAAATTCAGAAGCACCTTGTTATGTCAAGGACCTGGACTCATAGGATTAAATGGTAGGTAAATAGGATTAAATACGTCCTTTCGTAGATGGTATGGATTTGGAAGCCTTAAAGGCAGCTCTTCTGTGGTACATTCCACAAGTAGCTTGCCTCGAGATGGTTCCTCGACTGGTGCCGCCATCCCTCGCCTCGACATGTCTCTTCCTGCTTCCCAGAGAACATGTGAGCAGGCCACTTCGAAGCAGGGACGACTGATATTTTTTGGCAGAACCTTGGCTGGGACCCTTGGTGGTTCTACCAGCCACCGCCAAACAGAAGTAACATGATAGAAATTCTTAGGATATC